TAGGCGTCCGGATGCAACGATTTTACAAACAAATTCAGAGATGAACCTCATCCCACATCATTTGCGCTAGATGTCGAGGGAAGGATCAGACTGACCGTCAACTGCGTTCTCAAACTCCATTGGTTAGGCCCGACTTGCGCCGAAGATCGCTGGCTGTGGAAATGTGAATCATAGCTTCACGGAGACCCTCTAGCTCCTAAAGGATGCTACCTGGGTCATGGGGTACTCGGTTTGCTGGATAAGACACAAAAGCGAACTAAACTCGACTGACGCTCCTGGTCACGGTCGGCAACTCCCACTGCTCTGTTAGAGATTCGACTCGGACCTTTGCATCAGCACTGCGGCTAGAGCTCGGTAATCCCAACCAGACAGCCGGTCTTATGGTGTAGGACCTTAGCCGAGCTATTCCGGGGCTGGGGTTGGGGGACACCGAGAACTGAGGGCTGCTCATTTCGCGCGCCTTGGGTCTGGGGTTTCCGTGAGGAAATTGTCTGCCAGGAACTTCTCTACGTTTAGGCACCGTTGATTGGAGTCGATTCAGCCTGGAAGCCCGGAAAACGGACCAAACAGTCGATTCCTGGGTCTATCCCGCTCAGCACAAGTCGTTAGAAATGCACGAAGCGACGCAACGTGCACATGTGAACAGACGATGAACATGTGGATTGACTCACGATTAGTAAGTCGGAGTGGCTTCCATGGTGTCGTCTTCCCTTGAAGCTGTAAGCAGTGTCTGACTGAGTTATCTCGGCCCTTCAAGCGGCAGGGATCGTACGAGGCATAGGTTCGAATAAAGAGGTGTAAACACCTCCAGTCTTCCCGGAGTTTGTTCAAGGCTCGGAGGTCTGCGGAAGCTTTTGTTTGGGTGGCTCAAGCTCGCGAGCTTGCGACCCGTACTTAAAGGATTCGCTCTATGTTAGTCATCCCGCCAGTACCTGGAAATCTCGGACCCCGAATGCTTCTTCCAAGTTCACATGGCCATCTCCAAGAGTCTAGGCTAGGATTAAAGTTTTATGCTTGCTGACAAAAGGCAATTACGCACCATGAGCGAAACTTTCCAAAGCCGATAGGTGGATGATATCGTTGGAGAGAAGTCTGCTCAGCTCTCTTCAAAAGTCAGAAAGCGATGTTTGCTTATTCCTCAGACAATTAATCACAACGTTCTACGTGTGACACTCGTAAATCACCACCTCATGAGCATTTTGTGCAGGAATAAAAGCGGATTCTCGAATAATTCCTCCGAAGACTTCGGCTAGTCTCGGAGCCACTCCCTAAAGCTTTCAGTCAGAGGTTCGCCGTTAGTCCATCACGCACAACAAAATATATTCTCGATCTATCTCTTGATTCGCAGACGTCAGAAACGAATCAAGACAGATGTTCATCGCTCAGCATCCCGTCCGAGGAGCTAGAACTTTCGTGAATCTCCTTTGATGTGATGAATGAAGCCAACTGCCTCCGGAATTCAATGAGCTTGGATGCTCTATTTCGGCCTACCCTTCGGATATTCGAGAGATGAATTCCGGTTTGCCCAGTCCCCAATCCTTACGCTCTCCGGTTGAGCGTCGGCTCGGAGTTCCCACGGCCGGTGCCCGGCCAGAAATCCCGGAGCGATTCGTCATCGAGAGGAAATCATACGCTTTGTCGAAAGGGAGTCTCGCGCACGGAACTTCGCATGATTCCCCGTTAACTCTGACTCCCTAACAGTGACAGGGAGACGCTCGGCATGAGACGGTCAGACCGTACACACTCGAGGCTCGCTGCCGACCAGGCCGTATTTCTGTCCCGGTCTCAATGGGGGTATCCGTATCTCTGAGCTTGCTCCGACGTTGTGAGAATGATTCACAGAGGCGAACTCGCGAAACATCGCGCTTCCTGAATGATACGGAGACCGGTTGACAATCAGCTGAGGGTTATGCCCGTCCGAGTCTCTGATTTCCGTAAATATCATTGCAGATCTTCACCGATTTATGTTCGCCTGAGTGTGGCCCTCAATCCTCTATATCATCGAACGCGAGTCCCGTCAGGTCAGGGTCAAGGTCGGAAACGTGGCAGGACACTGTTTCGTTGGCTGTGCCGTTAGCTGGTCCGCTGACCTCTCTCTCCTTTCCTCCAGCCAGACTCCCTCTGAACTTCAGATGAGCAGAAGCCGGATGCGATCGGAGCACACGAGCTCGAGAAGCCACGAGTTACCGCATTGATGTTGACTAATTCAGCTGAGCTTCCGATTCCGGAAGGTTTTGTCCACGTGGTGCGAAGCTCCGCACCGAATCGTCGCCGGTTTGGCACCGCCGACTCTGCGTGAACTTCGATTTATACTACATATGTACATAGAAGCTCGATTCGGGATCGCTGGCGCGGCAGAGGCGAAATGTTTATCTGCCGCCTGTCCTGCGCTGCTTGACTCGAGTTCATGCGGAAAACTTGCTCACAGGTAAGAGCTAAAGCGGGAGAATCGGACGAGATACCGAGTCATGCTGTTAATCCCGATAGAAAGACAATCGCGCGACTGGAAACTCTCTTTAGACAGAACGAGAACGCTGCACTAGTCCAGCGGCCCTCGAACTTCCAATCACACCTTGATCACGAAGCATTTACAGCCCATTCTGATCCAGAAAGAATCGCGAGCTATCGAGTTGCCGTTTTTGACGTTGAACAGAGGTCTCGCAATGAATTCTTGGAGGCATGTTGTCGTCGTTCGGGTATCTTTCGACCACGCATCCGTACACTCGATCCCTGGCCATCGACATTCCACAACTCTCACCGATTGTCTAAAAATTACGCCGTCTGGACAATGGTCTCCTCTTCCCCGCTTCCCACTAGGAATAGCTTACAAGGTTGAATATCGATCGTAAGGGATCCGTGGAGCCGTCTGTCGACGACATCGCCGTCTCGCGATTCCCGGAGCCATCTCCTTCTGGCGAAATCACGCGCACTCAAGTTCGATCTCGATCGAGGCTCGAAAGATAATCATTTCGAGATTGTCTGTGTATGCCTCGATTATGAGGTTCTCACAGACCGTATCGGCTGGAGTACCTTGCCCCCGTCTCCGAAGATTTCTTCCGCACGGTAATCTACAATACTAACCTTACAACGGGAATTGATGCCCGAAGAGGTACGGAGGGAAAATCCCTCCTTCCTCTCCGGGCTGCTGCTGTTGCTGTTGTTGTTGCGGCTGCTGCTGCTGCTGTTGCTGTAGTTGTTGCAGCAGGTGCTGCACAATGTCGAGGAGGCGGTCGTTCCTCGCCTCGAGGCGGTCGTACCTCGCCTCGAGGCGGTCGTACCTCGCCTCGAGGCGCGCGTTGGCAGCCTCGAGGCGCGCGTTGGCAGCCTCGAGGCGCGTGTTATCAGCCTCCAATATTTCGATACGTCGCTGCAAGGATGGAAATGTCCGTTTAAGAAGGGACTGAGGCAGCGACTTGTCATTTCGTTCTTGAGGCACTACACTCGGCGAATTGACAAGCTTCAATTACCATGGACGTAGGTGTCCCAAATCATGTACAATAATCTGAAGAATATTTCCATCTGAATGTATCAATGCGATTGCAGAACTCAGACGGGAGACGGAGGAGGGACAAGACACCTGGCTTGACCAAGGAAGAGCTTTGATTTTTCCTGATTCCTTTTTGTCTTCGAGCGGATTGGCGCACCCGGATAGCGTCTATGTGGATTAAGTTCGAGAAAGAGGAGGATTCGGCATCAGATGAGACAGAGCTGGGGCGAATTCGGCGCGCAGGACAGTGAGACGCCGGCCACTCCGCGATCGAAATGAATACTCATCACGGGGACGAAAGTTTGATTCCGGTTCGGCAACGACCCAAACCAAAGGTCGTGGGAAATTCATTCAAAGATCACAAATGTCAATGAGGCCCAGAGATGGATGGCTCCACGACGTCCCCCGCCTTCGTTCCTATTCCGTTCCTCATAAATGATGTTATCCAGGGATTTCTGATAGATACGGGTGATTCGGTGCGAACAACGTTTCGGCATCTACGAGGCTCTCTCGTCAAATTACGGGTGCATGATGATGCTCCCCTGAGAGGAGCGTGT